TTTTAAGACTGTCGTCTTGCATAGATGACGGAAAGATGACAGAAAGATGACCTGTATTGTGTGTGCTCAATCAACAGTTTTAAAAGGTCTGCTCAGAAAAAGAAAACAATATCCTATCAATATAAACTCATCTTTATTTCATTTCTTTTCTTTCTCTTTTCCCCCCCTTAGTTCATCTATTACTGAAACCTGCTTAATAATTTAAAACAGACTTCTCTATTGCCTTGTTAATAATACATTACTCCTGCTGTGGAAAAAGTGAAGCAAATTCATCACCATGAAAACACTTCACTTCTGGAGTTATCAGAATTGAGAAAATCCTGCAACTGAGAACTCAAAGGTTGAAATAAAATATACGTAACCAAAAGGAAGAGAGAAACAAAACAATGCAGTTCTGTTCTACCGGAAAGGCTTGTCTCCAGTTCTGAATGTCTACTTCACAATTCCAAACCACCCATGTATGCGATTTTACTTTATATTAGGATTTATTCTAACATCGCACTACCTCAAGTGTCTGCAGAGGAATAGAGACTGTGAACACCGATGAGAGGGCTTTGCAAAACCAAAGTCTTGGCACGCAGCAACAAACTGTGCTTTGCAGGTCAACAAAACTTGGCTTTCAGATCTATAACCCCATGGATAACTGAATGGACCTCAGAAAAAGGTCATGGTATTTAATTCTGAAATGGAGAATTTCTCCTTCCAAACCACCGTTTTCTCCTGATTATGGCAGAAATGAGGCAGGCAGCCTGCTTCTCTTCTCTGGACATGAGAGGACAGAAATGCTCTTTAAATCCCAGCCAAAAAAATATACTTGAACTTTTGTGCCTTTCGGTGCTTTTCTCAGCAGGTCTCTGTACTTCCACAACAATGTCAAAGCTCTATGACATTTTAAAGATGATTTTTTAGACCTTCCGTACAGTTTATACACCAGAATATTTAGTTGTATTCTGAGATATCTACTACACAAAACTATTCCCTTTTCCACTTGAACATGTGTTCATCCTTAGGTCCAGATTGATGCACTGCAGATGTCTTCTATTTAGACCTTTAAACGCCACTATTTCTGTGCTTGGCTAGGCACAGCAGGTTTCTGGTGGAGAATCTGACAGAGAAGAATGACAGGCAAGACCTACCTAAATGGGATATGGGCCCTCCCTTCCACTGAGAGAACTGTGCATCTAGAAGAACACCTTTTCCTAAAGGGTATCCCCCTCCACCACTCTCAGACACGTGCATACCATAAGCTCCATGCTGGTCTCCAGCTATGAGCATTACTCAGTACGATGTGAATACATTCTCTCCCATTTCACACTCAGAAAACACAACCTAACTGTAGTTCCACAGTCTTTTCTATCATGAGTCAGTTTCCTGATGTCACATTTCTTGCAGTTGTGCAGCTCTAACTGCTGTTATATTTGGAAAAGATATCCTCACGAGGCCATATGCAAGTGATGGTCTGCTTTGGTTTAAAAAGTTTGATAAACAGATTTTGGAAATATATGTCAATTGTTCATATCTCGTATGTGTGGCAAACTTAAAAAAAAATCTTACTGCATTTATTCAAAGTACACTGAGAGAATTTTTCAGCTTTTATCAAATACACAAGTACAACACCTTCCCCATAAACTAGAAGTCCAGACGATCTCTTATTCAAGTGAAAGCATGCATCACTAAACCAGGGTGCACAAGGCACACGCCAGCAAATATTCTCCATTGTTAAATATTAAGCAGGTACTTCAGTACACTATTTACTTATTCACAGAAGTCTGCTACCTGCCTCCTACATCACAGGACTACCAGAGATTATGACAGTAGAATTGTCCACGGGCAATTTTGTTTTTTCTTATATTTACCAAACATCTCTTTTGAGGAGGAATGACTGAAATTCCAGGTAGATTAAACTGTGAATAAACCTGGACACAGGGCACCTTAGAAACAAGCAGATACAGTAATCTTTAGCTTTCTTACCATCGCAGTCATTGCATGTCTTTCCTAACAGTCCCAAACTATACCCAGCTGCAGGCTAGCTGAACACTTCTGGATTGTCAGCTGCTCAAAATAGTCTCTGGACACTTCCAAGTGGTATTCTACCAAACATTGTGCTGTGAATGTATCATCCAAATGCTCAGCACTGAGGAATAACCATCACTTTCTTGTGAAAAAAGGCAAAAGAGGTTGTCATCTTTAATGAGTCTCAACTGCAAATCATTCTTCTGACTGCCTGGCTTCATTGCTCTCTCATGGAGAGCTCCTAGCTAAATAAAAAGTCACTGCTATTTGGATCTAAAAAGGTCTTACTAGTTTCAATATCATAAGATTAATAACACAGAATGATTACAAATATTTTCAAGTAAGTTCTATCTCTAAAAGCAAAATGGTTTTGTTAAAAAACAACGTGGGGACAATTTTCAAAGTAGACCTGCAAAATAACTGAAGGTAATAAAAGCACCCAATTTGCACCACTTATCTGCACTCCTTGATATTGCTGGGGGAAGAAAGGGGTGTCTGCCTGAAGGTAAAACACTCTCTTTATGTAATTCCTTCTTATTTCAAGGCCATTGTTACAAATCAGACTGAATAACATCTCTGGCATATACTGGTTACACTGAAAAGCTCCTGTCTGAGATCCTGTTTCTTTCTTAAGGGAGACAGAAGTAAAATCTACGTTTAGATGAATGGGCTTCAACTATGTTTTTGTTAAAATTGACCACTCATGGTCACTTAGTCAACACAACCTAATTTTGCCCAATTTCCTGCTAAGCAGTTCTAGGAATGCTTTGTTAAAGACAGCAGACCGTTCAGACTATTCATGAGTCTGAATTAAAGAATCCAGCAAAGCAAATACATACCTCATCTTTGTGAAAAACAAAATTCCTACCTAGTCCCAAGTCCCTTCTTCTACAACATGTATTCCCCTCAATCTGCTACAGATCTTCTAAACTATTTGCTTAATTTACTTCTTCTTTCCCAGAACACAGACTGTTTGCACATCTACAACCACCATTTATCTTTGCACTGAGCTATACCGACATTATACATCACTGTTTTGATTACAGCCAGCACTGAAAATCTCAGTCAGGTTCTTATCTGACAGGCTATGAAAAATATCAAATGAGAAATTAACTTTTGGTGCAAAACTATGTACTTCAATACCTAATGTAAATACAGACCAACGGAAACACCTGGTTTGTTTACTATATGAACATACCAGGCTGAGCCCTACCAGCATACCTTAGAAAAGTTAAATTCTGCAAGGTGCAGCAAGATTTTGGAGAGCAGCTGGAGCACCTTCAGGAAGGACTCAGCGCTCTCAGGATCCCCAACCTGATGTCACTGAGACCATCACGGTACTGGGTGTTACAATCAGACAACTAGGAAGCAACAGGAAGTTCTTTGATCCTCCCAGAGAAAGACAGCACTTACAAACCCAGACAATATGGTGAACAAAATGTACAGCAAGAGAGAATGTGATCTATTCAAAAAAGGGGAGGGAAATAATTACAGCTTTTGGAAATTTTTAAGTAAGTTAAGTTAAAAATAATTGTTCTCCTGTATAGAATAATCTGGGAAGATTGCTTTAGTCCTCCACATGACTGCTAATCAACTCTGTGACAGACATAATTTTTAAAATATTTGTAGAAGTAATTTTTGCAATATAGGTTTTTTTTAAAAAAGTTTCAGTGAAACTACGAAACAATGAAACTATGAAGAAACAAAAAAACAACCCAAACATACTGATCACTGTGTGTTTCCAACAGTTTTCAAGGAAAAATAAAATTTGGAAGCCACGTGTCTCAATGAGCTTGCACGTTTTTTCAGCAACTCAAACACCATGCTCCAAAAATCCCTTCCCATTTGTGGAATACTAGCCTTCATTGTTTTGAGGGCAGATAAAAACTTCAGAAGGCTGTCACAGATCTACACGGCATGTGATCTTTTTTCACCATTTGAATTCCCTTTGCAAAGGCTGAGGTGTTTTGGATAGTTCTGATGCATTCCTAGAACGTTACAATAATTCAGTTTAAAACACCAAACAACTCACAAAAAGTTCTATTTTCAGTGTTCTTCCAAAAAACCAAAGGTCACAAAAAACATTCCACTGCAATAAAGAGGATGGACCAGATGTTTGCAGTGCAGTTATCCTTGAAGTAATAACATGGGTCCATATGATAGACTATTTTTGGCCAGTAAATTTAGCCTACCAGCTCTTTTCGTATCAGGCATAAATTTAATGCGGTTAACAGTTGTTTATGAGTTTATTTTATTAGAAATGCAGAAAACCCACAAAACTTCAAGTAAAGATTATCATACAGGCAGCTGGAACCACAAACTGGGAACGGACTCTGATCCAAGTTAAGCCTCATGCCAAAAATACAGAATTTCAGAAATGCTGATGCTGTAAATCTGAATGATGGCCTTTGATATTCAGGTTGCTGGAGAGTGATAATGTAATATACTGAGGTTCATAACACATTTCTAGAGCCTGCAGGTCAACAAAAACCTGCAACTTTTCTGGAATATGAATCTGATCTATGATACCATCATAAAGAATATTAACAGATTTCTGATGGAACTGTTAGGACTGTTATGTGACAGAAAATGAAACTTAGAAACCTAGAATTAACAGAAACACACAAGGATAACTAATAGAAGACAAAGTGTTAAGTAGCTATTCTAAAATATCCCATGGCAGTAAAAAATGTAACAGCATTTGTTTCAGAAAAAACAAGTAAAGAGCTTCATGTGACAAATTCTTATATAGTGTAACTGGGGTCAGCAGTGCTTCATGAAGAAAAATTTGGCCCACTGATAATGCACATGCTTATCTCTTACATGCTCTCTAGAGTACAAATTTAAAATAGACAAAGCACTACATACTTTACTGAAGGATGAGTCACAGAACAAGAAGAAAATGCTCCCTCCTTCACTGCCATGTATGTCACAATTAAAGGAACAAGACATACATAACCCGAGAGCTGAAAGCTTTGTATACTCACATCTCCATCTAGTGGCCTCTGGTCGTCACAGTCCCTGGTTGGACTGATGTCCTGCCTCATCACCCAAATAGGCTCCTTAGGTTCATCAGGGGTATAAGGAGAACGGATGGTCCTTGTCTTCACTTCCTCAATAGCCTCTTTAATATCCTTGATGGCCAGTGAAATTGCATCTCTCTTTTCCTTGCTGTACCTCTGTACAGATTCTCCCGAGCTGGATGTCACTCGAGAACCAGCTGGGAGCTGGCCATTACTTTCATGCCCACCACCGGCAAGAGCATGACCGTGCTCCAGACTCTGCTCCGCCTCTGGCATGTCTTCAGCTGCCTTGTCTAAGCTCTGGGAGCTCATGCTCTGCTTCACCTCTGCTACAATCTGATCAATGTCCTCCTCTTGTTCATAACTATCCATTCTTGGGTAGGGCGCAAACTCTGCCTCCTTCTCAGGGCTGTCAGACTCTCCGTCAGACCGTTCATCATAATGGTGAAGTCGGGCACCAAGTGCTTCCTTGCGGTAATTGTCGGCTTCCTCTCTTTCCCGCTCATACTGTTGGATCCCCTCCCTAACATCGAGATCTGGTGTATCTCCTATCTCCTCATACACATGCTCCTGCAGTCCGTAGTCGGCGTAAGGCTCAGCATACTGTTCATCCTCTCCTCTGTGGAAGAGGCGATGTGTGTAGACATAACCCGAGTAGGCTGCATTCATGGCTTCCTCGTGTTCGATGGAATGGAAATGTAAATGATTCGGCAATGTTCGATTATGAATGGCCTCTTTTTCTCTGTGTACTCCTCAGACTCAGGCCTGTACTGCACTGCATATGCGCTCTCATCCTCATTTTCCTGAACTCTCTCTGTGTCGTAACTGTCCTCCACTGTGGCTATCACATCCCCTTCTGCAGTATCTGTGTGATTGTGGAAACCACTCTCAGTGCTGGCTGACCGAGCTAACATCCCTTCCTCCTCCTGCCCAGACAGGCCCCCTTGGCTGCTGTTTGTATGCCTTGGGTAGTGAGTTGCATACCGCTGTTCCTCTTCCACCTCTGAGTGCTCCAGGTCAGCCTCCACTGACTCGTTCACTGCTCCATTTGCTGGTTCTTCACTTACCTCCCCCTCAGGCGGTCCAACCAAATGGTTCATGGCAAGTTCTGGTGGGTACGTCACTTATTCTATTGACATTTTGTCTATCGCAGCTGGAAAGAAATAAAAAAAAACCTCTGACGTTACTCTTAAAAAAAAGTGGAGTCAATAAACAGAAGCAACAAAAGGCACCCTTCCTTCCCCAGCAGACGAACGTTTGACTTCATCAGCTCTGAAATCAGGCGACAGCCAGCACAACAGTATGACCTCCCAGGCAAATGATCTCCAACAGCAGCAACCAACAACGATCCCCTTGGGGACTGCACTTCTCACTTCTATGTACAAATTCTTTGTAGAAGAATAATTTCCAAGCAAATCCTTGGAGATGCTTCTATGGACTGCTGTGGCATTTCAATGACGTTGGCAGGTGCATGTTAGAAAAGCTAACTTTTGCCAGGGGCTTAACCATGGTACAGATATGACACAAATATTCCACCTTTACTCCACTGCTCTCCCTACAGCCCACTAACTCAGTGCAAAGGAAGGATGCTGTAACGTAAAATGACAGATTTAGTCCCATCACAGGAGTCTGCAATTGCTCAGATACATGACAGCTATGCATGGTATCTTCAGCTGAGCTAGTCACCCTGTGCACTGTTAAAAAATCATTAGAAATAAAAATGCACCTTCAGGGTATCTGAAGCACCTGTTCTTTCTCCCTAGAAAAGCACATGACAGCCAGATACAACATAGTTACCTTCGTGGAATGTATCTATAATCACTTAAGAGGGCTTCTGTACCAAACATCTTTCCTAAAACACGGAGAAGACATTACTAATATTCATAACCATGACCACATTGAGACTAGTGAGGCCATCTTAGCCTTGCTGACTTCGTGTAAAAATCTCAAAAGATGATATAATTACTAGAGAGGTCTGCCAATAATAGTAAATATGCAGGCCATAGAAACAGGAAAACTCCGTAAGAATACAGATTAGCTTCTACAAGTTCCATAGAGCAAACAGGCCTATCTAGCTCAGGAGGTTTCATTTTTATGTAACAGCTTCAGCTATTTTGAACCTTGCCCCACATTTTTAAAATGTAGTGTCACAAAAAGGACATTTTATGTCCTTTTAGGTCCCTAAGTCAAAACACATATCCATAAGTAAAATACAGCTCTAGCCTGTGACTTACTGATTAGTACTAAAAGAAAAGGTACCTGTTAGAAGACTTCTAACTTGCAGGATCTATAAAAGCATGTGTCAATTACCAATTAAAAAAGTGAATGTGAATGTAAAATAGAACTTGAACCAAATCTACTGAACTAAGGCATGGAGGCTCAGGTGACACTTTGCTGACTAAATGAGCTCTGTGCAAAAGAGCGGTGGGAATAACTTCCTGTGACAAGAAAGCAGTGGCAGCTTCAGTTGCCCTCTATTAGAAAAGCTGACAGGCAGGCAAGGCTAGGTGGGAGTTACTTGCGCTATACTTCCATGGGAAATCTAGTGGGTGCAGCTTGCAGCTCAGTGAACACACCTTGTCTTTGTCATACCTAATGTTTTAGCCTTTAAAACTTAGTAGTCCTTAAAAAAAAAAAGGAAGTAAAATACATCTTGGCCTGTCTTCCAGCCAGATCTTTGCATTTTCAGGAACGGCTCATACATAGCTTTTGCAAATCTAGCATGCTGTGTTTAACCTCTAAGACTTCCCTTTCCTACCCTCATCACAAGGGAGGGAAATGTATAGTATATCATGCAGTATATCGAAAATGCAGTTGTAAAATAATAGCTAATAAATCACATTAACTGAACAGATAAAGATGTTCTACACAACCTAACCCTTTTTCAAAGTACCTTTGAAAAAACTCAGTTTGTTTTTTCCAGCTAAAGAAGGTATGTTAGTAAGAAGCCTTCAGTGACAAGGTAAGGTCTTTTCCAGCTAAGACTTCTGAGAAATCAGGAAAGAATAGGCAGAATACAGGTGTGTATGCAGGTGTGTGCCAGAACTAACAAACCAAACACTCCCCTCTCCGCAGCATATGAGATATTATTTAAGTAAACAAGAACAACATGTTGGAGAGCTTTCCATTTTAAGCCCAGAAAAAGAAGGGTGAAGGTGCCATGGCATAAGAGCCCTTTGAAAAGTCCAGCCCAAGCAGGATCTCCTGCTTCCACTAAGTCAGTTAAAAAGTTTCCATTGCTTTGCTCATAGACAGAATTATGCTAAAATAGAGGACTGTTTAAAAATTCTACCTTAAATCTGTTGCACTCAAAATAGCCCCTGAGTCACAGCTCTCATTGGTCACCCACAGAAAAAGGGCAGTACTAGTTGAAAGAAATGAAGTTACACATAAACACAGGATGATGACCAACTTTCTGAAATCTTTATCACATGTATCCTGCCACTTCTTTAACTGAATTATGTTAAGTTAGAAAAGAAGGCAAAATTCAACTGCATGAAGATCTATACCTCAAGTCAAATAAGGTATCAAGTGCCACAGTATTTACGACAACAAAAGTTCTGATAACATCTGAAAATATGTGATCCTGTTTTAGAAGTCTTAATACAGGCTTGCAACATAATGCATACTATAGACAGACAGCATTGCTGACGTGTCTAACTGTGAGAAACCAATTATAGAGATGACAAACCATACAAAATATTGCCAAAAACCACCTGAGAGCCCCAATATTTTCCTTCTGCAAACTGAAAGTTTCCAAAGTTCCACTTTGGAAGTGAAGTTGCCCTCATTTGAAGAATGATCTCAGGTTAATTTCAAATATTGATATCCTGAGATTTTCAAGGCTGTGTTTTTTGAGGGGATGAGGAGGAAACTTTAAGCTTAACTTAAAGCTTTTTACTGAAAAAGGTCCTCTTCCGTTTGCCCTTCCTCCGATAATTTCAATTCCATTTCACTTTTTAATTTTGCAAACAATAAAATACTATTTTCAAATGTATTTTGAAATTTTCAAAAAAAGAAAAATTTTAATTGTTAGAAAAGAAGGTAAGTTTACTTATAAAATTGTAGAGCTGAATAAATACCCTTAGGTCACCTAAGCCCCAATAAGTTTCAATGAAAAGTAAGCTTCTAAGTCAAGTACATTTATTCGACTGTTTAACAATCAGTCTTTAGGACAGTAATTTAAAGAACCACCTATTAAGGTTGGGGGTTAGAAGCACTAAATTCCTTTTCATACATGGTAGCTGGAAGACTACTAAAACCCACATTTTTTTCTTCTTAGTAGCATTTCCCTCAACCAAATACAAGGTCTGCCTGATTTTTCTCACCACGCCTTCAAAAAGCACTTTATTTCCAGCAAGCAAACAAAAATCAATAACCTACATAAAATGCCATAGACAGAAGAGAATATAAGCGAGAGAGGTCATCTGACCTTGGAAATAAAGACACAGCACCCATCTGAAAGATATTATACCCTCACATTAATTACCCGGAACAGCAGCTGTGCTCCAGTAATCAAACATATATGGGAAAGTGCTCTGTAAGCACTCTTGGCTTTGCACTCAGGGCTTGATGGATGAATCTGTCTCCAAAACAGAGAAATCAGAGGTTGTTTATTACTGCAGCTAGCTCTTTGCTGAAGGTTAAACTACCTTCCTGCCTGTAAAGAAGAAAAATTAAACATCTCCACATATTTCTCAAGCAACATAAAGAAAAAGCTGGAAGTTTAAGGATTTTTCTCTGCTACTTTATATTAAAAAAAAGGAAGTATTTAAAACACCACCAAAGGGTGGTATCATCTTGGAGCAAGACCACAACACATCCATGCCCAGTGCTATTCAGGAAAAGACATGAAAAAAGAAAAGGTGAAAATCCACATGTTCAGATTCCAATTTGGTTTGGTATTTGTTCCCAAGTCCAGATGTTTAATTGTTTGCTTTCTTGTGCATGCAGGCAGAAAGGAAGCTTTTTTAAATCATTATTCCAAATTTGCCTTTCAGAGTTTACTTTATAAGAGCAGTATGCATCGTATTTCCACAGTCTAATCCTGACTTTGCAATAAAGGCTCACACTTTGAATAGGTCTGTATACTATTGCTACTGTCTCAAAACAAAGCTATGTGCCATGTGGAACCAAGACTACACCTACACACATATATACACACACTGTTTTTTGTCACATACAGGATAACAAGATAACTCAGTTAGGAAGGGACCACAGGAGGTCTCCACTCCAAGTCCTGCCCAAAGCACAGCCAGCTCTGAGCTCAGATCAGGCTGCTCAGGGCCTTATCCAGTTGGGGCTTGACAACCTCCAAGGCTGGCACAAGGAGATGGCACACCCTGTCTGGGCCCCGGCTGTGCTGCTGGGCTGTCCTTGTGGGGAGAACCTTTCTTCCTTACAGTCAGCTTGAATTTCCCCTGTTTCAGCATGTGCCAGCTGTCTCTAACCCACGCTCCCACCACACACTCCTGTGAAGAGCCTGGCTGCATCTCCTCCATCCCCTGGGGTGTTGTTGGGTCACCCTAAAGCCATCCCTCCTCCCAGCTAAACCAGCCCCAGTCCTGCAGCCTCTCCTCGCATGGCAAGGGCTCCAGCCCCACTGTCTCGGTAGCCTCCCCTCACCTCCCACCAGTTTGTCAGTGTCATTCCTGTACTGGGGACCCAAAGCAAAGGCAGTACCCAGGTGGGGTCTGGCAGGCGCTGAGCAGAGGGGACAGTCCCTGCCTTCCCCTGGCTCTCAGGGCCATGTCCTGCTCACACTGCTGCAGACCCCGCTGACCTTTTTTTTGCTGCCCGGGCCGTGCCCCAGAGCTGCTCCTTGGCCCCACCAGACCCAGCCTGTATCAGTGCGAGGGGTATTTACATATATAAATTTTTCAAATTAATCTTTTCATTTATAAGAAGCATAACTGCTTCCTCTTGTTTTGTAAACTTTTGCAAGAGAAAAGGTAGTATGCCAGTTGAGTGTGAAAGCAAAAACAGTTTTGCCTTCCCTAAAAAACTTTGGACATATTTACCCATGTCTTCCATAAAAAATAGCTAGTCTTTGAACATATTTACCCATAACTCCAAGTCACACTAGAAGCAGAGAGACCTCTGACTG